AAATGTTGAGTTCTCCGGCGTAATGCCGCGATCAAGCATGTCCAGGTAATATTCAACGGGACTCATATGCCTAAACGGAAGCGTCTTCATAAAAATAAGGTTGTATGGGCGTGTGGACATTGGTTCAACGCCGGCAGAACACATCTCCTGAAAGACATCTTCTGCATCTTCTGTTTTCATGCGCATTACAAACTGCCTCTCCAGCTGCTCCGACAAATCTTTCGTTAGTGAAACATCATTCGCTTGCAAGAATTCTAACAATTCACGTGTCTCATTTGCAGTAAGAGAAGGAAACTTGTGCAGTGCGGCGCTGACGGCGCTGGTAGAGAAACTTCCCTCCATGAGTTGATGAAGCCGCAGCACCTCCAGTGCGCTGTCCGCGGTGATGGCAAGGACGCGCAGATACTCGGATGGTCGCTCAAACCGCTGCTCAAAAGCCTCCACAATCGTAAAGATGTGCTCATCATCGTCCCCCGCAAGCCTCTTCGCTGCAAGGAGCGCACGTCCCCAACAGAATTCCACTCTTCCCAACGCATCCGCGTTAATAGGATGACCTGCAGCCGTAGCGGCAGCGGCAATTTCTTCGTGGATGTTCCCATTCATTTTTGTACTTGTGGGTGTCGCGGTTGTCGTCCCGCCAGGACGCTGCGTCTCAAGGAGAATGTCAAGTTCAGGCATCGCCTGAAGCTCTTCAAAGCGTTGCAGTACAACGATGTCTTGCCCAGCCTTGTACGCGGCGACAATCGCCTCACACAAATCATCCCACGGCATTGCAGCGGCAACACGTGCGCCCTCGTTCCCAGCCTTTGCGCTGTCGCAGCCATCTACAACCGAAACTTTGCTGTCACCGTCTTTCCGCATATCCGAGAAAGAATAAGCCAAACAAAGACCAGATGCGTTGACTCCCTTTGCAAGAGCCACCTTGTCGGCAAAATAAATACAAGGAAAAGAAGTAAAAAAAAAAAAAAAACAACAGCAACAAAATAAAACAATAATAATAATAATAACAAAAAAAAAAAAAAAAAACTGCTTTAAACTCCAAATTTATCGTCATCACCTCTACAACATCTTACCAATAAGCACTGCAGACACACACACATATATATATATATATGTATTCTTGATTATTCCTTTTTTTTTTTTCATTTTCTTCTTCTTCACCTTCAAGAAAATAAAGACCAACAGGGAAATCAATCTCTTTAAAAAAGAAAGAAATACCCGTGGGGAATACGCAATACAAATAACGTGAGCAGATATTAAATAATGTATAAGTTTGTTTCTTCTATTGGCATGAGTCACAAAAAACTCATCCTACGCATTCATTTCTCCAGAGATATTTATGCCCCAACCCCTCATTGGTTTTCTCACTCACTCACTCACTCACACACACACAAAAAAAAAAAAAATGTGGGACTCTCCGTTGTTTTGAGAAGGAAATTTTGCCCTCGCTTACGTGCAATATTTACATCTCAAATATATTGGGATCATCAAAGTTAATTTCACCACCATCCAGGGAATTCACTGTGACAATTCCCCCGTCAATTGCACCGTCCTCGTCTCCACCATAGACTCCATCCAGACAACATTGAGTGTAGGGACCTCTTATAAATTCCAAGCAACAACTGTTCACCACAAAAATAGCTCGAGAACTTGCAGCGGATTCAATGTCGGTGCAAGGGGCAAGAATACCTAAAAACCCTCCGCAGCATCGACAGCGCACATGCAGCTCCAATGGATTGGCCTTTTTTGTAAAAGAAGAAGTTACGGCCGAAAATCCACCAACTCGTACCTCCACAGCTTCTGTATTCAGTCGAGAAAACGCCGCTATCCCACGCACTAAAAAAGGGATCTGGTATTTTGAAGCCACAAGAGGTACATGACAGCGAATGCAAGTATAAAAACCAGAAATGACTTTTTCTTCCTCCTTTAACGCACGTGTCCAGATATCTGTCGTGAAGGGATCCTCCATTTTCTCTCCCTCCAAAACATCAAGTACAGACCGTGGTAACATCTTATTCCACTCCCTACTATCCCTGTATTTCTCCAAGAAATGCAATTCCTCATCCCTATTTGAAGCGAACATCTCTGACTCAGATGCATTCGATTTGTCTTTCCACTCGCTATGAACATAACCATATAGGTGAGACTTGCCGTCAGAGGGCAATCCATGGGATGCCATCAATCTTTCAGCCGCCGCGTGTCCTTCAATATCCCGTGATCTGTCTTTCGAGACAACAGAGGATGATGCGTGTTCGCGCAATGGAATGCGTTCCCCTCGTGAGGCATCATTCCTCGGCCTGGGATTCCGCACCACGGATGCGGGTTTGGTCGGCATACGCTGCACAACTGACCCGGACACACTGTCTCTGTCCTTGACTTTATTGGCACTGGAACTCTTCTTCGTTGTTGTTGTTGTAGTTGTTGATGTGGCGTCGGCAAAATTGGCGGGAGTGTGTTGGCTGCCTCTGCCACCATCCAGTTTTTCTGTCGACGCAAACCCTGACGCCGTGCAGGACTGAGAGATCTGACCGCTTGGATACGGGCGCAGCGTGGACGCGTGCTGCCCGGTGGGCCCAGACGACCGACGGTAAGTTGGCGGCTTCGGTACAATATTCGTCGGCCGCACGTCAAGTGGCTGCAGTCGTTGCCCCACGGCCCGGCTCCGCCGCCTCAGCTCCGCAATCGCCGGGTGCATCTCACGCATCGTCCAAACTCCTTCCTACAGCTGCCAATTCAAACCAACGAGCGGGGGGAGGGGTAAAATGAGCCCACAGAAGCGCAGCGGCACACGGATTTAAAACCCAAAAGACGGCCAGAAAGAAAAGACGTACACGACACACACACACACAGACGGAGATTTCCCCTCAAAAGAAAAGAGAGAAAAGAAAAAAAAAAAAAAAAAGAAGGCAAAAGAAAGCATCCGAAGTAGTTTAAATCGTAAATCGAGAAGAAAAAAAAAAAAAAAAAAAAAAAACAAGCGTTATACAAATTCAGTTTTTCACACGCATTGCCCATATAATATATAATTCTCATATTTTATATATAAAATATATTTGCTAATGTGTTTTCGATCAGAGGAATTTGCTGCCCAAGAGAAACGACGCGCGGAGACACGCACTCCCCTTTCCTTCGTACAGTCCCAACACCAACAACAACAACAACAAAAAGAACCAGAAGCAAAAAAAAGAAGTAAAGAAAGAAAGAAAGAAAGAAAGAAAAAAAAGGCAAAATGTAAATAGAGGAGGAGAAGAATCAACCAACAATTAAAGGGAACTACTTCAAGGAGTTAAAGTAGTGCTATCACAGAATACATGGGAGATTTAAAAAAAAAAAAAATTAATCCTCAAGATCCTGCCATTCGCATGTTTCTCTTTTCCTTCTCGTGGTTTGGTTTCCTCCATGGGTCGTCTCCTGACAGAAGATGCACAAGGAAATTTCCCACACTCGCAAAAACATTTTTTTTTTTCTTCTTATCACCTTCCCCCCCCCTTTATTTGAATATGTGTGTGTCTGTGTGTTTGAATCCCTCCTCCACTTCCGGCTTTCATGTTATTTTCAGCCTTCATGCCTTCTCACATTCCTACCCACCCCTTTACTCCTCTTTCTTCTTCTTATCCCTGTTCTGTTTTTGTTGCTTTTCATCCGTCCCTATTTACTGTTGCCGTTGCCTGAGAAGAAGACAAACAAGACAATCATAATAAAGAATGCTGCCACACCGCCAACTATGAGTTTCCCCTTGACGGAGTTCCACCAGAGTTGCTGACGAAGATCGCGGCTGCTACGCTGAAAGCCCTGTGCCTGAAATTGCAAATCTTCCGTAGACTGAACGATATCATCAATACGTTGACCGCGCTGAATCACTCGCTCGACATTGTCTAACGCGAGGTCCTTCACCTCCGCCACGGCCATCTTCACCTTCCGCACCTTTTCCTCCGGCTCACCCGAGTCACTCATGCGGAGGAGCACATCGCGGTAGGGCTTCACGAAGACATCCACCATCTTGGTGTTGAGCTTTGCGACGCTTTCAACAAACATTTTTCGAAAGGTCTTCGCTGCCTCGTCCAGAGCGGCATGGCCCTGACGCCGTGTGACGGCTTTGTTAGCGAGAATCGCGAATGCAAGCTCGCTGTCTGTCATAATATGATACGAGAGCTGCAGTGGCCCTTCCGCCCCTTCCTCCACCCCACTCACGCCCTCGCTGCCGAGGGAAATGAAGGAGGTGGTGCGGAAGTTGGGGGCGGCGCATTTACTCACAACCTCAGCCCATACGGTTCCTGGTATCGAGAAATCATTGGTCGGGCACCCAGGGGCCTTACACAACATCAGCCGATCGCTCAGGCGCACCAAAACGCCTCCATATATCTTTGTTTCACCTTGCATATCCATATGCCCGGTGCCAACGGCGTGCTCCCTATTCCCTATGCTCGTGGAGATGTGCTAACAGTTCGGTTACACGTGTGCACTGCGTGGACGATACCTCCGACCACCGCAACAACAACAAGAAGAAAAAAAAAAAAAAGGAAAGAAACCAAACAAACCACAAATATTATCACACGGTTGCGGAAGGGAGAACACACAAATAAAGTCAGCGGTAACTCAACAGACATGCACGCAGCAAAAAAGAAAAAAAAAAAAAAAAAAAGGGTGGGTGGAAAACTTCTCCCCTCCTCTCCAAAAAAAAAGAAAAAAAAAAAAAAAAAAAAAAGAAAGATCGTTTTTTACTGATAACCGCAACATACTCTTTTCTCTCTTTCTCTGTTCCTCATCTCCTCCTCTTTAACGTTGGTGCTTTTCTTCTTCCAACATGACATCACCACATGAACCAATGCGGAATAGAGGGGCTGGTGCCAATAATGACTCATAAAATAAAATCAACAGAAAAAGGCAACAACAGGAACAACAACAGGATCGATTGTAGTAGTTGAGGGACAGTAGCAACCGCATCCATAATAATAATAATAATAATAATAATAATAATAATAATAATAATAATAAATAAATAAATAAAAGCGGAAGTGAAACAAACAAAAACAAAAACAAAAAAAAACAATGGGAGGAGCACACGTCTTGCTAACTTCAAGAAAGACGCTAGCCAAGCATCTTTTTTCTGTCCCTTTGTCTCTGTCTCTCTAAATGTACATATACAAATAGTATACAAATAATATATGTATGTATGTATATATATATATATATATATAACCTGCCCTTTTGGCTTTCCTCCGGTATTATTATTAATATTATTATTATTCGTTTTTTTTTTTATTTATTTTTATTTTCCTCCACTCTCTCAATTATCTTTTTTTTTTTTCCACGGCGGCTCGCTCTTCTTTTCCTGTATATATATATATATATATATATACGCGTGTATGTGTGTATTTACGTGGTTTGTGTCCTCTTTTCCCCCCCCCTCCGCAGCCTTTTTTTTTTCCCCCCCCGTTCCGTTTTGTTTTGTTTTTTTTTCCATTCCCTCGTTTTAAATTTGGTGCTCTCTCTCTCTCTATATATATATATATATACTTATATACTTATATGTATGCATGTAGGCATGCCAATAAATGTATGCACACACACACATACACATTTATATATATTTCTATTTATGCGCGCTGATCACACCGCCTGGAGAGGTAGAGAAGCCAAAATACACACATAAAATAAAAGAGAGGAGCAACAAGAACATACACATATATACACAGTAAAACAGAAAAAAAAAAGAAAAAAAAAAAAAATGGAAAGCGAATTTACCACATTTCCACTTCCGTCGCTGATTATTTGCTGATGTTGTTCTTGTCACTGGTGATAGGGGGAAGAGAAGACGTGGTGGTGAATGGATAGGATGGATGGGTGCTATTTCATTTCCATTTGCAACCGCCATTGAGATTGCTCACATGATTACTAGGATGCTACTGTATCCTGAGAAGGAACAACAAACGCGCGGCAAAGCGGGCACTCTGGGTGCTCACGTAGCCACTCCCTAATGCAGTTCTTGTGAAAACAGTGCCGACACGGCAAAATCACTACCGGGACACCGGACCCAACAATACTGTCGAGACAGATGGTGCAGGAGGAGCTAACAAAGGCCTCTGGGTATTCAAGACGATCACTCTCCTGCAATCCATTGGGAAGTGTTACAAAAGAACCTATCAAATCATCCACAGAGACACACGGGCGGGGGCTCGTCTCTGGCCCCTCGTCTATAGTGAACTGAATCACAATGTGCTCACCGATATTCTCAGCGAGTCGGGGCCATAACGGGTGAAGTATCTCCGCCAAAAAATCCACTGGCTGATGTTCCTGTTGTTGCTCTTGTTGTCCTCCCACAATTGCCTGCAGTTCATTGTAGTGCCGCTGGTCCCGCACAATTTCAATGATGGGCGACTGGCAGACCTCACAATTTGTAGCGACGTCTTCTAATGCGTGTTGATTGTGAAATTGTTGACATACGTAACAGAAGTACATGTCTAATGCACACCATGAGAGGAGGTGGAAAAATTCAATCAAGAAATAACCACAAATAATAATAATAATAATAAAAGAGAAAAAAAAAAAAAAAGAGAAAAGAAAAAGGAAGGATTTTAAAACATAAAGACACCGCCCTCTCCTCACAACGCACATGTAGGGACATTTACATACGGAAGCAAACACAAAAAAGGGTTAAGGTTATGGATGAGGTGGTGTATACATGCGCTTCTGCCAAGAAACACAGACGTACAGGCACACATCGTCTCGCTTTGAAATTAACGTGTGCCGCAGCCAAATAAATAAATAAATAACAAAGATAAAAATAAACGTTCTGGTCTGCTTACCAGGCTCACGTAGACACGGAAGCACTTGTTGCCGCTCGGCTCAAGTATTGCAGGCCGTACACCAGGTAAAGATCCGCCCGAGACACGTACCCCTTCTCCACTGCGGTGCGCACCATATCTACAATTCCATCGGTCGTCATCACTTCGGCACTTGTGTCACTGTTCATTTTTAGATGTTCCGCAATCATCTGCACAAGTTGCCGCTCCACCCGTTCTGCTCGATGCTGTTTCGCCAATTGCTCATTGTACTGTTGTCGTCTAACCTTGCTCAACCTCTCCATCGCCGCCTCACGGTTGCTGAGAGCGCTGCGAGAGTCTTGTGCCTCCGCCACATACGCCAACTCGCCATCAATTAATAATTTAGCAATGATTTGAGTCTCCGTTACGTTTGCTGCCTGACCACCAGGCCCACTCGAGCGTGCCGTGTCGTAATGTACAGTGGCGCGGTGTGCGTTGCTAAAGAGCGTCGTGCTTACATTCGGGCACACGGCCGTGAGCTTAAAAGGGAGCCTATATGTACTTTCATCCATTTTCCCCGAAAGGAAAAGTGCCACGCCTACACCATAAGGTCCAATAAACGTTGGCGAAGAAGTGGCGGCAGCGGGCGCAGCAATGACATACCGCTCAGCCGTTACGTGTTGTAACTCAAAACCCGACTCCTCAACAAAACTCTTCAACATGGCAACGTCCCCCTCAACATTTATAAGAGCATCGTAATTGACGTGTGGCAAGCGGCTTAAAAATAGGCGGCGTACAACTGCCACATACACATTTGCCCCTGCACCTTCTTGCATGGCAGCCGTTTTCCACGCCGCATCCTGTTCCCGCTCATAACACGACTGCAGGGAAGCAAACGCATCATCGGAAAGGTCCTTTGCGGAGTCACGCTCGGTGTCACACATCCGTACGACATCGCTGCAGAGTCGTGAGAACTTCAAAAGAGGGTCACGACGGCGAAGTCGTTCCAGTTTTCGCTGGAGGGAGCGTAAGTTTTCTTCCCTCTCCTTGAGTTGAGTTTGTAGCATGTCACTACGGTGTCGGTCCTGTGCGGCGTCGCTCTTCTGTAGTTTTTGCACCGTGTCCGTGAGCAACTCATTCTTTTTCCGCACCTGCCGCCATTCCTTCTCATGCTCTTTTAGCTCCATGTTCTCTGAGTTGAGAAGTACCACGTCCTGCTCCACCTTTCTTAGTTTCGTGCGGAGACTCGCATCGGTTTCACGCATCTGCAAAAGTTCCTTCTGTAACTTTTTACACTCCTCCTCCTTTGCGTGAAGTTTTTCCCGGTACGAGTTTTTCTTTGCCCGCATCGATGCTAGCTCCGCAAAGAGCTCCTCTATCTCTGGACCTAAATTGACTTTCTTCAGCTCGTCAATGGTGGGACCGGAAGAGCCCTGACGACTCTCCCTACCGCCACCACTACCACCAGCGGCAACGGCATTAGCGGCGGCCGCATTTGCCGCCTGAAACAAACCGCTAAATGTGTTATTTTTCCCGGTGAAAAGTCCACTTTTGGTGTCGCCAAAGTCTGCGGGTTTCGGTGCGTCCTGAGGATTAGTTTGCCGCATGTGCCGCTGTTGGTTCTCCACGGTCTTCACGAGGTGCTCCATCACCTCGATGTTTTTCTGAGCAAGTTTCCCCACCCCGGGGATCCTGCCAAGTGCCTTTTGAAACTCCAGCGCCTTCTTCATCATCTCCACCTGCTTCTCGAGCGGTTGGCTGCGGATCATCTCCTGCATTGCCCGCAGCTTTTGCGCGTCAATGCCGGGCGGAATATCACTGCTGCTGCCGTGGGTGCCACCATCGTTGCTTCCTTCCGAGCCGCTTGCCTTGTCGTTGGGCTTGCCGCCTCCGCCAGTCACGAGACGGCGCCCGGCGGTGCGGTGGACGAGCCCGGCGAGGCCACACACAAAGCGGCGATAACGGTACATTCGCAGTGAGAAGTATCAATACCAAACTCAAAACCCAGACAACGGCCCACGCCACCAAACGAGGAAAAAAAAGAAAAGAAAAAAAGTGGGAACGCAAGAGATTAAAGGGAGAGAAAACAACATTTTCGTTTCTCTGTGTTTTTTCCTTGCTTGGCTCTGTCATTCGTCAACAGAAACCAGGCGTCGCTGCGGACAGAAATAAAAGCGTGTGACGGCGATGAGAATTCAAATCACCATCGCCACCTCAAACTTCCACAGCCACACAAACAAACACGCACAGACGGGGGGCGAGAGAAAAAAAAAAAAAAAGAAAGGACCACCAGAATGTAAAGCTGGCCTTTCCTGCTCTTTTCCCTCGGTTTGTGAAGGGAGGGGAATGTTCTCTCATTTCCGTTCCAGCCTCGCTATTATTTACCGCCACCAGCACCATCATCATTTCTCCCGTTTGCCCTACGCCTCCGAAGGGACACCCGGCAAAAGCCCCCAGGCCCGTTTTGCCTCATTCATCGTTCGTGGGTATTTTGACGGATCGTCACGGTCGGCGTACCACGTGCTGAGACCGGGAGCGTCCGCACCCACGTAGCGAGGATCGGGCCCCACGTCATCCCCCTCCATTGTCCACACGGCCTCCACCATGATGCGCCAACAGTTCGTGGTGTTCGTGAGAAAAGCGTACATGGTGTATACAGTTAAAAGAAGCACATCACCCAATTCAAACGCCGTAGACACAAAAGGGTTCACGTCAATCGTTATGGAGCGTCCCGTTGTCTCATCGATACCTCCTTGTTTGCCCAACGGCAACAATTCCTGCGGGTCATGCGTGTAGCAACCATCGCCACGAATGTCACCGCTCTCCACTTCATGTTGACCGTAAGTCCTTCGCAACGCCGCGTATGATTCCGTCGAGTTGCTACCCTTCACCACCACAGGTGTACCCATCTGAAAAGGGGTGTCATGAAGTGGGACAAGAGCGACAAGAGCCAATTTTGTCCCCCTGTTCAAATAAACACTTGACATGCGAAGGCCAAAGGTCTCCTGCGGCGCGGCAAGGTGCAGCGACTGTACATCCGTCACATTTACAGTACCTCCAAAAACCTGCCGAACGAGAGCCATAACACCCGTCCCACTTACCGCAGAGCGGAGGGACTCTGTATACTTAATCTGTGGCGGCGGTAGCTGACCGGTGGATGGAAAAGGTACACCAAGAGCAACACCGTCACGTGACACCTGCTCTGCCCGGTCCTCTACGGTTGTCCAGCCACACTGCAGCAGTTGATTTCCCAAGTCATCCATCGCCTCATTGAGGACTATGCGGGGAACAATGTTCTTGAAATACAAGTATCCATCCTTGTCAAGGCGGTGGCGTAGTTTTGGTGGGTCATAGTACAACTCATTGCTGGGAACAAGCGGATGTAATTCATGCCCCACCGTTAGAAAGCCGTTGCCTAATGGAAACTTTAGCCGACCATGGCGTTTGACAAAACATCTTCGCATGAGATGTTTCCTTTAAATCAAATGTAAATTACAGGCTAAAACTGTAGCGTGTTCGTCACCTGCCGGCCTTATAACGCAAACCAACCAACCAACAAGGGAGGCTGTAGAGATATCCTCTTTCCTCTCCGTGTCGTAGAAGGATGGGCCTCTCTTTTTTTTCCCTTTTTTTTTAAAAATACCCCACCCTGCGGAGAACGTTATATAAATGCTCTGGGTACGGGTGCCGTGTAGCCCTTGTTGTTCACTCAACACGCCGTGCCACGTTTCTGCAGGCCTATTATTATTAATATTATTATTTACACCTTTTCTTCCAGTCCGCGCCTACAACAATCCAGCCAACAAAGAAAAGAAATAAAAAATAAACACAGGGAGAGAGAAGGACATGGGCTTACATCGACCCACCCACATGAACACACACACACACACACACACACACACACACGGGGAAACACAGGGAGGATAAACAACAACAACAAAAAAAAAATGACGGTCCGAATGGGACCCAAAAGTTAAATGAGGCCGCTAACGTGTATGCGTATATATATAAAGATATATATATATAAAGGAAGGGGAAAAAAAAGTCATAAGAAAATGACGACGACAGCCAACTTCGCCCGGCTCATGCGCGGAAAAAGGCAAATACGTTCAATTCAGCCTCATTCATGTGCAGTCCACAGTCTTCATGAATTTCCCCGCGTACAGTTGACGGAAGCTCTCCTCTCCTTTATGGCGCACCGCGCAGAGATCCGAGCGCAGCAGCAATTCCATATTCCGCTTCTCGTCATGCAGCAGCAGTTGACCATCCTGGCGCGTTAACTCCGTGAAGGTGGCCAAACGCTCCCCCTTTTCGTTCACCTCGTGCCATGTGATGCTCTGACCATCACGGAGAAAAGACCCGCGATCATACTTCCACGCCCGCATGCCCTTCTTTACCACACACTCCTTGGCCTCCACAGGACAAATGGACATTGCAAAAAGAAGAAGGAGAAAAAAGCACAAAAATGTGATGCAAAAACGTTGCCGCATGTGTCGTCCGTGCTGCCTTTTTGTTTCGTTTCCTAATCAAAAGAAAAAGGGATTTCCCCTACCTTTTTTTTTTTTGGGCGTTGTTCCTACTTCCTGTTTTTACTCTTTTTACTCAACATAAAAAATCCAAAGCAAAGGCTCAGAACAAATAAAACAGCGGAAAAAAAAATATATATATATAAGGCGGTTCTGTCAACGGCACAACACAGAAAAAAGATCCAGACGTTTTAAGTGCACATGCCACATGGGATGCAGGTATGGAAGTTTACATGCAGAGATACACACACACAATTATGCATGCATGCATGTACGTTGGATTATGTTTTCCCTCTTGGGGAGGTTAATATAAGCAAATAAATATATCAAGTCTCTGAGCGTAGGGCTTCCTGATGATGTTAAAACAACAAAACAAACAACATGCACGAAGAAAAGCCCCTCTTTTCTAACTTCTGAATTCTATTCGGCAGCACCGTCGCGGCCACCACTTCCTTCCTTTTCCCTCCACACATGACATCCACACGCCCTGCATAAAGGGAACGAGGGCAGAAGAAGTAAAAAAAAAAAAAATGTGACCGCGTCTGAAAGGGAGGCGGAGAAACCCAAGAGAGAGTGTGTGTATGTGTGTGTTTTGGAACGGCGAGAGAGAGAAGCAACACCAATGCAATAAAGGTAGAACACTCCAAAAGGTTGCTTCTAATCGTCATACAAACACACCGCAGGGTCCCTCCCTTTTCCTCAAATTGATTTAAAAAAAAGATATATATTATATATATATATATCTTTGAGAGAAGGAGAAAAAAAAAAAAAAGGTGGTATTGAGTAGGAGGGAAAACAATAAATAAAATAAAATAAATAAATAATGTAAAGGGCGGAAGCAACTAAATAAATAAAACAACGACCAAACAACAACAAGGAAATGCCATGTCATAATCTATGAACATATTAATAATAAATAATAAAAGCGGCTGTCATGACGCACGGCGCTTTTTCTTTACTCGCTTTCCGTTATTCGCCGCCTCGGCGGTATGCTTCCTTGCGTCGTTGCCGCCCTCCGCCTCATCGTTGCCTTCATCCCCTCCCTCATCCCTGCATATTTCCCCATCGCCGTTGGAAAACGCGACCATATCACTCGCCTGTCGCTTTCTTTGTAGCCGCAGCAGTTCGGCCTCTACCATCCGCTGAAATCCCCTCGGCATCAACACCAATGTGCGGGTGACATCCTTCACTTTACACACCCCGACGAGCTGGTGGGCCATTTCAAACATGTTGTTGCGTAGTGAAATAATGATGAACTGCGCTCCGCTCGCTTGGCGAAGTAAATAATTCGCAACAATAGACACGTTACGGAAGTCTAACGCGGCATCAATCTCATCCATGACGTAAATAGGGGTTGGCTTAATATCATGCAGAGCAAAGATGAGTGCAAGGCTCGAGAGTGTCTTTTCCCCTCCGGAAAGATTCGATATCTGCTTCCATGACTTCTTCGGTGGACGCACAACAAAATGGATCCCTTCAAACGGATCATTCACATCAACAAGTTCCAAGTCGGCGTCTCCTCCGTGAGTCAACAGCTGGTAAACCTCTCGCAGTCGCTCCTGTACACGCACAAAACATTCCATAAACCGACCGCGTCTTTCTTCCTTCAGCTCCAGTAGTCCCCGCTCCGCCGCATCGGATGCCTCCTTGCAGCTGAGATAGTGCGATTTTCCCTTGCGGTGCTCCGCGTCGCGTTCATGCCACAGCGCGACAGCACGAAAGTCAATCTCACTGTGCAATCGTTTCGTCTCTTCACTAAGAGACTTCGCCAGACGCACCGAATGCTCATAGTCACATCGCGCCAGTTCCTCAGGTGAAAGTCTGAACGACATGTTACGCAGATCGATGCAATTCGACTGCTGTTTTCCAGGCCGACGACGCAATTCTTCCTCGTCCTCCTCCGACCTCCTGTTGTTGTTACGATTCTTGTTTTTTTTGCGTTGTTTTGTCCTTTCCTCTTCCTCGTATTCTTCATTTTCCACTTCCCTCTCCTCCTCTTCATCGGTTGATTCATCCCCGTCGGTACCTGAATTGACGTCCAGCTGCAGCGTTTCTATGCCGTACAACTCCGCATTTTCCCGCATCTTTTCCTCACATCCTTCAATCTTCTGCTCAAACTTCGCCAACTCCTGCAGCGCATCGGCCATCTTTGCGGTTTCCACCTGGCGGAACCGCTCCTCATCATCTAGCAGCTTCTGCGCCTCGATGAGGGCCTTGTGGGCAACAGGCACCGCCGCCTTCACATCCTCTACGTCCGACTGAGCCTTTGCAAACTTTGCATTCGCGCCGTTGTACCGTCGCGTCCATTCCTCTGAGGTTGCAATGGCGGCAGCAAGCGCCCCAGATGCCCCTTGAGCCGCTTCCTCGTTGATCCGCTTCAGCTCTTCCTCTAGCTCACCAATATCACTTTTTTTACGTTGTTGTGTTGCACGAAGTCGGTGGGACAGGCGGCGGCATTCTCGAATAGCATTTTCTTCCGCCTCCCTGCGTTCTTGTTGTAACTTCAGTTCCGCACAGAGTGCCTTGTAACCGGCACCGCCCACAGCATCCATCTCCTGTTCAATCCGCTCTAGATCGCTTTGGTGCTTAAGCCGTGACTTGTTTGCGGCCTGCAGACTCTTCTCTGCCTCGTCCACTTCCTCGAGAATGGCCTCCCGCCTACTTTGGCTCCCGGCTGAGTTCTCTTCCATTTCCTGAAGCAAGGCGGTGCGTTTCTTGGCATCGGACTCCAAAGTGGCTCGCAGTGTTCCAAGCTCAACTCGAAGCTTTGAAATTTGCTCCGAGCTGAGGTGCCGCTGAGTCTGTCGCATTTTGTGCAACTGCTCCTGTGCCGCACGCTCCTCTTCGACTGCCTCCACCAACTCCCCCTGAAGCCGCTGTAGTGCCACTCGTGCAGCCTCCTTGTCCTGCGGTGAGCGTGCTGCCTTCAGCTTCGCCCCGCGCGGCGTGTTTCCGCCACCCGTGATGGAGCCACCAGGCTCCGCCAACTCGCCACGCACCGTTACGACACGAGCACGATGCGGACCACCAAACGCCACCTCCCGTGCCTCACTAAGATCCCGCACAAGAAGAGTGTCTCGCACAGCCTGGTAGAACGCTACACGAAAGCGCGCATTTGTTGGCACAATGTGGTCAAACAGACGTGTGGCCTTTGGGCTCGGGGACGTGAAAGGTGCATTCATGCGATCCCCCACTTCGCGTTCAATCTCTTTTAACACCATCATTGTGGCGCGACCAATGTTATTCTTGCGAAGCAGCTCCAATGCCGCGACGGCCGTCTCACGGTCTTCCACGACATGAAAACCCCATGCATTACTCGCCACACCTGCTGCAATGTCGTATTCATCGGCAATACGACCGAGTTGACGTAGGGTGCCATAGTATCCTTTAA